AAAAAACACAAGGGATTTGCCACATTTCTGAAATTCGGTGCCACCCCTCACGCAGATCCGGGGTCAGGGTCCAAAAACACATGGGATTTGCCACATGTTTGAAATTCGGTGCCACCCCTCACGCAGATCCGCGGGGTCTGGGTCCAAAAACACAAGGGATTTGCCACATTTCTGAAATTCGGTGCCACCCCTCACGCAGATCCGCGGGGTCAGGGTCCAAAAACAAAGGGGATTTGCCACATTTCTAAAATTCGGTCCAACCCCTCACGCAGATCCGCGGGGTCTGGGTCCAAAAACACAAGGGATTTGCCACATTTCTGAAATTTGGTGCCACCCCTCACGCAGATCCGCGGGGTCAGGGTCAAAAAAACACAAGGGATTTGCCACATGTCTGAAATTCGGTGCCACCCCTCACGCAGATCCGCGGGGTCAGGGTCCAAAAACACATGGGATTTGCCACATGTTTGAAATTCGGTGCCACCCCTCACGCAGATCCGCGGGGTCAGGGTCCAAAAACACAGGGGATTTGCCACATTTCCGAAATTCGGCGCCACCCCTTACGCAGATCCGCGGGGTCAGGGTCCAAAAACACATGAGATTTGCCACATTTCTGAAATTCGGTGCCACCCTTCACGCGCATCCATCGCAAGGCGCGGTAACCCAAACTGCGAGAACTCCCTCGGCCCTTTAATCGCAAGGTGCGGTAACCAAGCTCGTAAACCATACACGTCTTACCAATCGCCAGGTGTGGTAACCCCTCTTGTGATCAGTTGGCTTTGCTGATTGCGAATCGGCTTCGCATGAAGTTTCGATACTGTTTCACGACAGCGCCAAGACCGCATGACTTAGCTCTTCCATGGCCCATTCTCCGAGAGAGGGGGCCGGCGGCAGGGGGCGAAGCCCTTACGGATAGACAGATAGATAGATACATAGATATCTGTGGATAAAAAGAGAAAGAGAGAGGGAGAGAGACAACAAACAAGCAAATAAACATATTGCTTCGAACGATCCCCACCCAAGAACGCGAGGCGGGATTCCGAGGGAGCACGAGCACACTCTGGACCGGGCGGCCGCGGCATGCAGGATGTGCGAGGCGGGTTAGGGGGCCCCCTCTTATAGAAATCCAGCACCCCCGACCTGCCAGGCAGGGAAGGATAAGGCTGATATTGGTATATGCATTTGCACATCTGCATAGTACCCAAGGCCGCCCGAAAGACGGCTCGAGAGGGCCACACACGACCCAGGCGTGGTGGCTGGATGGGCAGAAGGCAAGAGACATAGACACATGTACACTTTTGACAAGTAACATCGGCACCCGCACACAAAAACAGGGCACAGACAGCGAGAGAGAGAGAGAGAAAGAGAGAGAGCGAGAGAAGTAGAACGAGAAAAAGAGAAAAAGCGACACAGAGAGAGAGAGAGAGAGAAAAACAAAACAAGAAAGAGACACGTAGAACGACAGCGGATATATATATATATATATATATATAATATATATATATATATATATATATAGAGAGAGAGAGAGAGAGAGAGAGAGAGAGAGAGAAAAAAAAAAGAGAGAGAAAGAGAGAGAAAGAGAGAGAGAGAGAGACAGAGAGAGAGAGAGAGACAGAGAGAGAGAGAGAGCAAGGGATATTGCCAGAATTATCATCAGGGGGAGCGCAATAGGACTCCATAAACCGTCGGATAAACTTGTTTGTCGAGGATCGCCGAACGAAGTGCATAGCCTCAATAGCAGGCCTCCGAAAATTACGCTACCGAGGACCCCCACATACTGATGTTTAATCTTATGTGTTCGCTTGTCATTATCATCTATGCGCAATGCTGCGTTCTAAACCCTCGTCGCGAATCGTCGTCGTACTTGTCGCACTCGTTGTCGTACTCAGCGCACTCGTCGTCGTACTCGTTGCCGCTCTATCGTCTTGCTCCTCATCGTACTCGTCGTCGTACCTCGCCGTCGTACTCGTCTTCGCATTCGTCGTCGTGCTCGTCGCACTCGTCGTCGCACTCGTCGTCGTCGCACTCGACGTCGTCGTGCTCGTTGTGTTGGCAGCGCTCGTTGTATTCGTCGCCGCACTCGTGGTCGTCGTCGTCGTCCTCCTCCTCCTCCTCGTCCTCCTCCTCCTCGTCCCACCCCATCCTGTCAACTCCTCCGCGCTCCTCTCAATTCCTCCGCACTTCCCTCCACTCCTCCGCACTCTTCTCAACTCATCCTCTCATATCCTTCTGTGCTCCTCCTTCTGCACTCCTCCGCACTCCTCTCAACTCCTCCGCGCTCCTCCGAACACCTCCGCACTCCTCTCAAATCCTCCTCCTCACAACTCCTCCGCACTCCTCTCAACTCCTCCTCCTCGCAACTCCTGCACGGCCGCGCATGGCACGGCACGGCGCGGCGCCGACGAAAGGCATGGCACGGCAGTGATTCCCGACGGCCCCGGGGCTTTGAGCGCGCCTCCAGACACCGGAAGAAGCGAAAAACCTCCTCGAACCTCGAAGTGCGTCGCCGTCGTCGTCGTCGTCGCCGCCAGACATGGTCAGACCTCCGGCGGCGCAGTGCTCCCTCGGGCCCCGGATGGGGCGGGCGCGGCAGGGGGCGGGAGCGGGGGCCGGGAGGGCCGGCCAGAGCTCCTGCGGACCGACGACAACGACCTTTCTCGCCCTGCCTTCCGCCACCATTTCTTCTCCTCTACTCTTCTTCTCCATTTTCTTCTATACTGCTCCTGGAGAGGAGGTAGAGGGCAAGGAGGAGGAGGAGGAGGAAGAAGAGGAGAGAAGGGAGGAGGACCATCGTGCATAGCGGCCGAGCTCAGGGACCACCTCCTGCGCCCCCCTCTGGTGTCGAGAAAGTGCCACGCCTGCTGTGCCTGGACGACCGTCGTGCATAGCGGCCGCGCTCAGGGACCACCCCCTGCGCACCCCCTCTGGTGTCGAGAAAGTGCCACGCCTGCTATGCCTGGACGACCGGCGCGTATAGCGCCGCGCTCAGGGACCACCCCCTGCGCACCCCCTCTGGTGTCGAGAAAGTGCCACGCCTGCTATGCCTGGACGACCGGCGCGTATAGCAGCCGCGCTCGGGGACCACCCCCTGCGCACCCCCTCTGGTGTCGAGAAAGTGCCACGCCTGCTATGCCTGGACGACCGGCGCGTATAGCAGCCGCGCTCAGGGACCACCCCCTGCGCACCCCCTATGGTGTCGAGAAAGTGCCACGCCTGCTATGCCTGGACGACCGGCGCGTATAGAGACCGCGCGAGAGACCACCCCCTGCGCACCCCCTATGGTGTCGAGAAAGTGCCACGCCTGCTATACCTGGACGACCGGAGAGACCGAGAGACCACCCCCTGCGCACCCCCTATGGTGTCGAGAAACGTGCGCCTGGACGATAGAGCAGCGAGACCACCCCCTGCGCACCCCCTATGGTGTCGAGAAAGTGCCACGCCTGCTATGCCTGGACGACCGGCGCGTATAGAGACCGCAGCGAGAGACCACCCCCTGCGCACCCCCTATGGTGTCGAGAAAGTGCCACGCCTGCTATGCCTGGACGACCGGCGCGTATAGAGACCGCAGCGAGAGACCACCCCCTGCGCACCCCCTATGGTGTCGAGAAAGTGCCACGCCTGCTATGCCTGGACGACCGGCGCGTATAGAGACCGCAGCGAGAGACCACCCCCTGCGCACCCCCTATGGTGTCGAGAAAGTGCCACGCCTGCTATGCCTGGACGACCGGCGCGTATAGAGACCGCAGCGAGAGACCACCCCCTGCGCACCCCCTATGGTGTCGAGAAAGTGCCACGCCTGCTATGCCTGGACGACCGGCGCGTATAGAGACCGCAGCGAGAGACCACCCCCTGCGCACCCCCTATGGTGTCGAGAAAGTGCCACGCCTGCTATGCCTGGACGACCGGCGCGTAGAGACCGCCCACCCCCTGCGCACCCCTATGGTGTCGAGAAAGTGCCACGCCTGCTATGCCTGGACGACCGGCGCGTATAGAGACCGCACCCACCCCCTGCGCACCCCCTATGAGTGTGAGAAAGTGCCACGCCTGCTATGCACTATTTATGGTGTCGAGAAAGTGCCACGCCTGCTATGCCTGGACGACCGGCGCGTATAGAGACCGCAGCGAGAGACCACCCCCTGCGCACCCCCTATGGTGTCGAGAAAGTGCCACGCCTGCTATGCCTGGACGACCGGCGCGTATAGAGACCGCAGCGAGAAACCACCCCCTGCGCACCCCCTATGGTGTCGAGAAAGTGCCACGCCTGCTATGCCAGGACGACTGGGGCCACGCCTGCTATAGCAGGACGACTGGGGCGTATAGAGACCGCAGCGAGAGACCACCCCCTGCGCACCCCCTATGGTGTCGAGAAAGTGCCACGCCTGCTATGCCAGGACTGGTGTCGTCTTGTGTGTGCGAGTGTGTGCATGCGTGCGGCTGTATGTAGACGCGTGTCGCCGAGACGTGCTGTGCTGTGCTCTGCTGAGCTGTGCTGTGCTGTCCTATGCTGTGCTGCGGTCTGCTGTGCTGTGCTGCGCTGTGCTGAGGAGGAGGAGGAGGAGGAGGAGGAGGAGGAGGAGGGGAGGAGGGCGGGTGTGGGGGAGACGCGGGCGCGGCGCAGCAGGGAAGAAAACCATAACCCCACGAAGCATGTGGGGAACAAAAGGGAATCTTGCAAGCCTGAACCATCCCTTCCAAGATACCGAAACAACTACTGGGTGCGTTCTGACCTGAATTTCGAAGCGAATTCAGCCGTGGCGACGAGGGCATCGCCGAAAGCCCAACTAGGCAAACGTCTTGGTACATGTTCCTCCTCTGAAAACAATTTGGTGTCCCTTCCATGGGAGCGGTGGCTTACGCGGTGGCTTACGCGGGCAGCCAGCGCGGCACGCTGCATAGAAAACGAGGGCGCTTACGTGCGATCTCACGCGGGCAGCTTACGCGCGAATGTTGGCGCAATCGAACCCGTTTGTCTGCGTCGCTCAGATGAACTCGGAGGGCGCCTTCTCGATCTGTGCCGCAAGCGTCTTGTTCTCTGCCTCGAGGCGCTCCTGGCGGCTGGGCCCCCGCTGGCTGATACCTTCGGTTCCTTCTGCACGACTGGCGCCGCTGCTGGCAACAACACGCGGCCAGGCTCACAAACTGCCAGGAGGCTGGCAAGCGACGAGGATATCATGAGTTTGGAGCCGAAGGTGCCCGAACTCAAAGGGATGCCCGCTTCCGAGAGAGCACACCAAAAGCGCCCAACACCGAGACATGCTTCGGGCCATGTTCTTGTTGCGCTCATCCGTGTGACCGGCTGAGGCTGCACACGCAAAGCTGCTACAACTGCTCAATTCCGCAACGATACTGGCTCTGGCTTCTGACACCGAACCGTTCAACCTTGAACAATCTTACTCCAAACAATTCCAACATCGGGGACGCGAACGTTGCATCCTTCGGGCACCTCATCTGTCCCGTCACGCCGCTGTCCGCGTCGAATTCGCGTCGAATCCATGTCGACAGCGTCGAACCCGCGACGAATACAGCGTCGAATCCGCAGCCCTCCGCGGCCCCCAGCTGGCTCTAACATGGAGGGGGCGGCGCCGATCCTTCTCGTCCAGGGACAGCAGCGCGTCCTGCGGAAGGGCATCGCGCGCGCCAAGGGGGCCAGGGCCTCCCAGATGTTCGCCGACACAAAATCTCTTGTCTACGGGCCTCCTAGATGGGGTCGGAGTAGATGGGGTCGAAGGATCGGGCCGCATCGCCGATGTGCATCGGCGATGCATCGTCGATGCATTGGTGCTGCACCGGCGATGCATCGCCGACGTCGGCGATGCATCTGCGACGCCGACGTGAAGCAAACCGGGCCCTACATCGAGCCGCATCGCCGATGCATCGGCAATGCGGCGCGATCCTCCGACCCCACCGACTCCGACTCCGACCCCATCTAGGAGGCCTAGAGACAGGGCTCGGGGACGCAATTCGACCCTTGGGAGAGCGGTCGGGACCCCTGGCGACCGCGGGATCAAGCCATCACATCACTGGATCTCCGGGCTCTCGACGTGTTTTCGCGGCTCTCGCTGTGCCTCCAGATGCTTGGCCTCCCCAGGGGGTCCGAGCAGGAGGGGTCGGAGGATCGCGCCGCATCGGCGACGTCGGCGCGGAGTAAACGATCTTCCAACCCCTATCAATGTGTGGCGGGGATTCACCGATATCCACCGCCTCTGGACCGACGACCTGGGGACCCAGCGGGCGGTGGATATGGACGTATTTGGGCCCCCAGGGGCCAAAATACATCCATGTCCACCGCCTCTGGAGGCCCACGAAAATCTGCCCTCCAGGCGGTGATTGTGTTTGAAATCCCTGCCTCGAAATCTACTGTGTCATCATTTTGGGAGGCCTGGGCCAAAGGCCTCTCAGAGCCTCGAGAGCCTGCTGGGAGCCGGGACGAGGTCATCCCGAGCCGACACCCTCCACCCCCACCTTCCATACCTTCCAACCTCCGCGGAAGGTGCGGAAGAATTCATCGACACTCGTGGAAACCTCACGCAATTCAAGGAAACCCACACAGATCGTATCGAAAAAGGGGCTGGAGGTTAGGGCGGAAGATCCAGAATAATGAGGTGGAGGGTAGTCCTATCTTAGAGGCCCCCTAGATGGGGTCCGAGTAGATGGGGTCGGAGGATCTCGCCGCATCGCCGATACATCGGCGATGCATCGCCAAGGCATCGGCCATGCCCTGACGGCGTCGGCGATGCATCGGCGACGTCGGCGTGGAGAGAATCGGCCTCCCCATGGAGCCACATCGGCGACGCATCGGCGATGCGGCGCGACTCTCCGACCCCATCTGCTCGGACCCCCTCCTTGGAGACCTGGACATGATGGGGGGGGCCCTCCTCCCTCCTCTGCCTCTGCTCCCTCTTCCTCCTAGCTTTCGGCGCGCCGCCGAGAGAGAGAGGGAGAGAGAGAGAGCGGAAGGCTAGGGCCGAAGATCCAACGAATTTGAAGGGGCCCTGGGACACACAAATAAATGCAGACAAATAACTGGATTCCCGATATTTTCCCATATGTTCTAGGTGTTTGTCTTCCCCCCCACTTCCCATATCTTCCAAAATTTTCTGGAGGATCGACGATTCATTGTGCCTGTGTGCTTTCTTCCCTCCTGATGATGAGGGGGAGGGCGTGTGACATGCGAAGGCCCCGAGGCCCGAGGCCCGCCCCCCGAGAACAAGCATACGCGCACAAGCCGGCCGCCTCGACCCTGCCGCTGGTCACCAGCGGCGCACCGAGGCGGGCAGATGCGAGGGGGCGCACGCCCTCTGAGAAAATGTGGCCGGGGCTTCCCACACCCCCTCAAACTATGAAAGATCACGACGGGAGGTTTTTGTTGTTGCTATGTTGAGCCTCTGGGGGCCCCCCTTACCGGGGCTCGGGACCGTCAAAAGACAACTCGGGATGAAAAACCGGTCCCGGGGAGTGGGTCGAGACCTCCAGTCGACGTTGCGAAATAAGCATGACGTCGGGGGTTCGGGTTCTGGGGAGCCCGAAGGCTTCTCAGAAAGCGGCCCGGCCGTCTGAGCCTTCCGAGAGGGCGCCCCCTCTCGGCCTTTTCCCCCTTGCGCGCGCCGCCGACGCGACTGGGCTCGAGGCACCCGACGCCTGGAGAGCCCAGCCATCCTGTGCCTCGATTCTTCGAGACACGGGCCCCCAGGACCGCGCCTCAATCCCGAGTCGCTCTTCGACGGCCCTGAGAGCTGAGGCCCATCAAGGGCCCCGAGAAGCGGAAAACGATCAAAAGCCGCCACAAGCGAACGACGGTCTGATTTGTTCACAACGCGGTCGCGAAACGTTCCGACCCTCTCCCCAGAGCCGGCCTTTCATCCTGAATACTTTTCTGTTGGACTTGGGGCCCGGCGAAGGCCCCTGGAGGCCGAAACTCCGAATCACGCGGTCCCCGTGTGCCTGAACGATCATGATCCCTCCCTGCAATTCCTCTCTTATCTGCCTCTCCCTCCACCTCCACTCCATACCTTCCGACCTCCGTGGATGGAGCAGAGAGAATCATCGAACATTCTGGTACAACTTCACGCAACTCAAGGGAACGCACATAGATCAGATCTAAAAAAAGGGGCGCAGGGTTAGGACGGAAGGCCCAGATGACTGATGGAGGCCTCCTGGATGGGGTCCGACATAGGGTCGGACGCTCGCACCGCATCGTCGATGCATCGGTGATGCACTGGCGATGCATATGCGACGTCGGCGATGCATCGGCAACATCGACGGGGGGGAAACACGTGGTCCACATCGAGCCGCCTTGTCGGTGCATCACCGATGCGGCGCGACCATCCGACCCCATCTGCTCCGACCCCACCTCGGAGGCGTGGACCCTCTGCCTCCACTTCCTTTTCATGCTATATCCTTCGGCGCGCCGCCGATATATATATATATATATATATATAGAGAGAGAGAGAGAGAGAGAGAGAAAAAGAGAGAGAGAGAGAAAACAAAAAACAAAACAAAAAAAAAAAAGAGAAGGACAGAGATAATCGGGGGCGCGCAAACATGGATTAGCGATCGATGGATTTGGCGCGCGGTCGCCAAATCCATGGATCGGGGGAGGTGCCCTCAGTTTGAAATGGGTTGGGAGGCCCAACCAGCCGTTTCGCCAAAGGCGAAGGCCATATCCAACTCTGTTGCACCGTAGTAACGATGGACCCAAAAGTAGGAGATCGTGGCGGGAGCGACGGCCCATGTCAAGCGAATAGGTTTGCGGTCTCAATGGCAGGTGGTGTGCCTCCTTATGAGGCACAGCCATATTTTGGCGGCCGGCCGCTTGAATACAAACGGCCGCGGGCAAGCGCTCGCTATCTCTCGCCTTTGCCCCAGCTTCCTTTCGCGTCGTGGGGGGAGGAGACGAATCGGGAGTCCGCCACCCTTTAATCCAGTAAACACTATATACAAAAAGAAGGCAGCAACAGGCGGGTTCAAAAGGAAGGCTGGCCCGCGCGCAAGTGCCCATGCACGCAAGTTGCCTTGCGAGCGGATCGCCCTGCAGGCGAGCATTCCTCAGGCGGCCTCAGACGAAGTTGTCTGGCCAGCCCAGTACGGAACATGACGTTTTGAGTCGTGCTTGACATGTTGCGTTCCTCCCGTTATCTGTAAGAGCATATATATGTCGATGTTCCTTTCGGTGTGCCCGTCCGCAGTCATGTCGCGAGTGTCACGTCAATGTATACCATGCGCGATTCCTCGCTCCATCATCTGTCGCGTCCAACTGATGTGCACTAAATAAGTACACACAGCCGGTTTCTTCAAGTCTTTGTTTGACAAAGTTTGGAGACATACTCCGCATGTTTGGTCAAAGTGGCCCTAATGCTCAGGCCGCCCATCTCCAGTATATCCTTCAACTGAATGGGTGTCAGGGGCCCTGCGTGGAGTTCGTGCATAGTGACGATCGTGGGATAGCAGTCCTCCAATGGACCGGCTGCTGCTAGTGTTTCTGCTGAGTAGCTCGGGCGGACCTGCAAGCGGCGAAACTTGCAGCGCGCATCGATATGATGGACGACAAGAGCACCAGCGGGCGTGATTCCCAGCCGTAGCAGGTTTGCCCCGCGAATACCATAGCCCTTGACCTCGTCATCAGCATCTCCACTCAGGCGTCGATAGCCGGGGTCGTTGCGCAGGTCGACCTGCCCCGTTGGGGTCATTCATCGATAGATGATCTTCTTAGAGCAGGCCTGCAATTTCCTGGCGATCGCGTTCAGTCGTCGCACCTGTACGATGGTCGGTTCTTGGACACGCCGCAGGGAAACAATATAAACCATCAACCACACCTGCGTGATTAATGCACCGGCCAAAACGACTCTGAGGCGGACAAACATGTCGGCGACCATCTTGGAGGCCTCGAAGTCAGCGTCGGCGCCAGTGAGTTCAAGATGTTGTATAGGACGGAGCTGTTTTATATATTCGTCTTGCTCAAGTGCAACGTGACCGTCCCCATCCTTTCTATACCTCACTGCACCAGTGTTATATGTATGTTGGTTGGGCCCTCGACGCATGCGACGCGCCTGTCGACGGCGCCCTCAGCGCCGGCCACATTAATATCATCATTGCGCTTGGCTGTGAGAAGCTTGTTGCATGTCTCGAACTGCTCGCCGTAGGACGTGGGCATGAGACCAAACCCTCTCGTGGTCTTTCTGAGCTTCAGCGAGAAAGCTCTGAGTGCTTCCTTGGCGCGGGTGCCTGGCTCGACGCGCTGCAAGCAGCGCTTCGACTCGTCGCGGTGCTCGAATCCGGGGAGGGATCGAAGCACCGATGCTGATCCAGGCGGCAGTGCAAAGCATGCCACGCGTTCCTCTTCACCAGTTGCCTCAGGAGGCCCCTGATAAGTCAGCCCCTTCACGAAAGCCACGTTGATGTCAAGGGAGGTAATGGCCCATTGCTTCTTGCGCGCTGCCGCGCTTGCAAGTAGTCTCTGGCTCGACCGCCGCGCCGCCCCTGAGAATGCTTCCGCGACGAAGGCTTCGAGGCCCATGACGCACCGAAGTATCAGGCGTAATCTAGTAGTCCGCCCCATCCCTTGACGACCGCGGCTCGCATGGCGGCAGCGGTCGCACATGCTCGCATAGTGGTCAAG